TTTGGTTCAAATTCATTCCTCATTGATCTTGAAAATTCTCTCATTAATGACTATAATGGTATTCTCAAAATGGAGGAAGATTTTTGGGCCCTTAAAGCCAGAATTAACTACACTCTTGATGGTGACCGAAACACAAAATTTTTTCATGCTTCTGCTCTGTCTCACCTTAGAAGAAATAAAATCTTTGCCTTGAAAAATGCCAACAACTCCTGGTTGTACGAAGAGGGTCAAATTAAAGAGGTTATTGTAACTCACTTCAAGAACCTCTTCACTTCTTCTAGTATCTCCGAAATTCTTTTCCCTCAAACTACCCTCACTTTTCCCACCATTGATAACATTCTACATTGTTCTCTTTCTAATCCTCCATCCCTGCAGGAAATTAGGTCTGTTCTTCATACTTTCAAGCCCTAGAAAGCTCCCGGCCTTGATGGCCTCCACCCAGCTTTCTTCCAACGCTGTTGGAATCTCATAAAACACTCTGTTTTCCATTGTGTGAGAGAAGCTTTTGTCACTGGCAAGATCCACCTCGAAATTAATCAAACCCTTCTGTGTCTCATCCCCAAATCTGACCACCCTGAAACCATCACTCAATTTCGTCCCATCGGGCTTTGTAACACTATTTATAAGGTGATTACCAAAACTCTTGTGGCTCGTCTTCGCCCCTTTTTGAATGACATCATCAGTCCTCTCCAATCAAGTTTCATTCTGAGCAGAAGAGGAATTGACAATGTCATCATTGCTCAAGAATGTGTCCATCAATTCAAATCCAAAAAAGGGAAATTCGGGAACATGTTCATCAAGTTAGATCTTGAAAAGGCTTTCGACCGTCTGGAATGGGGTTTCATTAGGCAAGTCTTAACCTTCTTCAATTTTCCCCCTCTCTAGATCAACCTCATCATGTCTTGTGTTTCCACTCCATTCATTGCTATCTTGTTTAATGGTGGTTTGACTGATTCTTTTACACCCACTAGAGGCATCCATCAAGGTGATCCCCTATCACTATACCTTTTCATTCTCTGCCTTGAATACCTCTCCATCACCATTAACAAGGCTTGTGTTGAAAAACTCTAGGCACCAATCAAACTAAGTAGGGGTGGTCCGCAACTATCTCATCTTTTCTTTGCGGATGATCTCATCCTCTTCGGCAAAGCTACTAAAAGAAATTGTGAGTGCATCAAAAATATTTTGCAAGACTTTTGTACCTAATCAGGCCAGAAAATTAGTTTCCATAAATCTAAAGTCTTCTTTTCAGCCAACCTCAATGCCGAAACCCAGGATCACCTTGCCCTCACTCTCCAAATCCCAAAAACCACCAATCTTGGCAATTATCTGGGCTGCCCTATTCTTCATAACAGACCCAACCGAGGCACCTACCGTTTCCTTGTTGAAAAAATTCAGTCCAAACTTGGTGGTTGGAAGAGCAAATTATTATCAAAAACTGGTCACACCACACTCATTAAAGCTGTTAATGCAACCATTCCCTCTTACATTATGCAATGTAATTACCTCCCCATTTCCACTTGCAAAGCTCTTGACAAAATCAATAGGGACTTTCTTTGGGGTTCAAATTCTGAGATCTGCAAAATCCATGCCATTAGTTGGGACACTGTGACCAAACCAAAAAACTTTAGGGGTATGGGTATTAGGCAATCCAACCTTGTTAACCGTGTTGCGATGGCTAAATTAGGTTGGCGCTTGCAACGTGATAAAGAAGCCTTGTGGGTTAAGGTTCTTAGTGCAAAATATAACAATCCCAATCTTAGACCCACTAGAGCTTCACCGACCTGGAGAGGTATCCAAAAAGGTAACAATATTATTGAAAAAGGAACCAAAACCCTCCTTTGGAATGGCTTAACCACATCCTTTTGGCTGCATAACTGGGTGGGAGTTGGTTTACTTAGGAATGTCATTTCGGGTCCTCTCACTAGGGATGAAGTTTCTCTGGAAATTAGTGACTGTTGGTGTGATAATTCGTGGGATCTCTCTAAAATCTCCTTTGTTCTCCCTCCATTCATTGGTAACAAAGTCAAAAGTATCACTCTTCCTTGGTTTTCTTCGGGTGATGACCAAACTGTTTGGAAATTTTCTGTGGATGGTGAGTTTTAATCAAAATCTACCTACCTCCTTTCAAAAAATTTCACCATTTCTCTCCCTTTATCCAATTGGGATTGGGTCTGGCACATCCATGCTAGCCCCAGAATAACCCACTTTCTTTGGTTATGCCTTCATCAACGCATCATCACCAAATCCCTTCTCTTCCGTCGAAATATCACCACTGATGATACTTGCCCCCTTTGCTCGCTTGCATCCGAAACCACTTGCCATACCCTTAGAGATTGCCCAATCTCACAAGATCACTGGAACTCCGTTGGGATTCCTTCACCTCTCAAGGACTCTTTTAACCTTGCCTTCAATGATTGGGTCTGCACAAATTGTCAATCCATATAACTTCATTCCACCAATGTTGCTTGGTCCATTATTTTCCTAATCACTTGTTGGTCCCTTTGGAAAGCTAGAAATTCTCACTGTTTCTCCCCAAACAACCCCACCCCTTTCAACCCTTCACTTATCACTGCCTTGGCCCTCGAATGGCAGCATACCTCCAACCTATCCCAACCTACCCAAACAAAATCCACCCATCTCATCTCCTGGCACCCTCCATTTCTTTGCAACTACAAATTGAACACTGATGGTTCAGCCAAGGGCTGTCCGGAGCCTGCTTCTAGTGGTGGAATTATTCGAGATAAATGGGGCCATTGGGTTACTGGATTTTGCAGAAACATAGGAACTGCTTCAAGTCTTGAAGCCGAATTTTGGGCACTCCGAGATGGCCTAAATTTGGCGCTCGATAAAGGTTACAAACACATTGAAGTGGAAACCGACTCTTTGCTTGTCAAAAAACTCATCATGGGTAGTAAAAATGCTAACCACCACTTGAGTAATTTAATCCATGATTGCAGGTTCCTGTTAGAGCAGCTGGGAGTCCAAGTAATTAATCATATCTACCGCGAAGGGAATAGCTGCGCGGATATTCTAGCAAATCAAGCCTCTCCTACAACTGATAGCTTACATATTTTTGAATTTGCTCCTTCATGTATTGCTAATCAATTGTATGATGATGCTCGTGGGATTAGTTAACCCAGAACTTTGTACTGTCCTACTTAATTTATTTTAGTTCCAGTTTACCAAAAAAAAAAAAAAACTTAAATAATAATACTCTTTACAAATAATAATAGAACAAAATAATTACTTAATTAGGCTATTAAAAGAAATTAACAAAAATTTAGAACTAATCAATTTGAAATAATAAATGAAGTTAGACATTTTATACTAGATCCAGAAAAATAAGTAGCTATCTTTTAAGAAAAACAAAAATAATTAGATCTATATCCATATCCATATAAATGAAATAATTCCTAAGAATCATTTGAATTAGTTTCACTTGAAAACCAAAAAGATAATGGAATTAAGTAACTATAGCCTAAAACAGTTAGAAGAAATGGTTGAAAAAGAAAATGATAATGAAATAAAATGCAAAATAATATTAGAAATAGTTGAACAATTAGATATGGTAGATGAAGAAATAATAATGATATAATAAAATTAGAAGAAGATATATATAAACAATTAGGTTTAATCAGATTGGGAGAAATGGAATACATTTCTTTTGAAGATTTAGAACAAATGATGGGAAATAGCGACGTAGAAAAAGAATGGGAAAATCATATCTTAGAAGATTTCGAAGAAACAAATGGCGTTAATGATACTGAAATGACAATGGTAAAACAAGAAGGGAGTAGTTCATCTGCCCACCTAATCTAAATCACCCAGATTTTAGAAATTTTATCAAATAACAAATAGAAAATGATACTAGAGATTGTAGTTATAGCAGAAGAACGCGACACTATAGATAGATGATCTTTTGTTAGGGGAACATCCAATTATGCAGACTTTACTCGTAGAAATGAAGTATTTTTAAGGGAGGTACCGCTAAAACCAATAAGTAATATAGGATATTTATTAGATATTGATTGTGTTACAAATACAAGAGAGGTAATAAACAATGGCAGAGAGGCATGCACCATGTGTTAAATATTCATAGCAGCAGCTGGAGCGCATAAAATTTTCTAAATCATATTGAACATAGCTTTATGGAAGGGTTAAAACAATTGGTCTATTACAGAGGTTTGAGGCCTTAAGTAGCACTATGGAGAATTTGTGCCCATTCTATAAGTTGGAAGCAGAGTCAGGGGATCATATTCTATTGCAGTGCTCTGAGATTTGGAAGGTTTGGTCATCTATGCTGCAATGGTGGGGATTATCTTGGGTTACACCTGCTACAATTGATGGAGTGCTGTTATGGTGGTTGGAAACAAAATTTAAGCAGCCAGTTATGAAGATTTGGAGGCTTGTACCAATTGCCATGTTGTAGTCAGCATGGAGGTTAAGAAATGAGTGTGTCTTTAATGCACTACAAGAATTTGCACATTTGGCAACCACTTTTGACGACTAAAAAAAATATAGTCACCAAAATTGTCACTTTGGGCGACTAAAATATGTATTAGTCGGCGTTGGTAAAGGATGTAGCTACTAAAAATTTTTAGTTATGAAATATTATTTATTGGCGACTAAATTATTATTTTGTTGGCAAAAATGTCACTTTTAGCGACTAAAATATTTATTAGTCCCCGTTAGTATGAATTTTAGGCTACTGATTCTTTTTTAGTCGTCTTATATTATTTTTTGCCTACAAAATAAATGTTAGTAGCCGAAAACCAGGTATATTTTTATGGTTACTCTTTAGAGACTAAAAAATTTAGTGGACAAATATTATTTTTTCCGGACCAAATGGAGATTTAGTCGCCAAATACTTTTGGTGACCAATAAAATAGTCGCCGTTGATTTACTTGTGGCTACGAAATAGGATAGTCTCCAATAAGCACCCTTTGGCTGACAAAAATTAATTTTAGTAGCTAAAGCTTGAAATTTTTTAGGGCGCATACTCTTTTATTGCTATCCGCCCCTTTCTTTGTTACACAAAACAACATTCAAACCTCTCAAACAAAGGCAATCAGACACCAAACCTCAGAGAGAAACACCTTACCATAGTCCACCGTACGGAGGACATTGCTATGGCCAAGGCCACGGCCACCACCACAAAGCACCACTGGTACAGCCGCAGATCACAGGTTCTCTCTCTCTCTCTCTCTCTCTCTCTCTCTCTCTTTCACTTGCTCTCTCGCCCTCGTTGTGTCTGTCTGTTTCTCTCTCTTGCTCACAGTCTCTCTATGCGTCTCTCTCTCTCTCTCTCGCTTCCTCTGTTTCCCCGTTTTCTGATTGTGGCTTTAGGGTTTTATATGCTTGAATCAGTTGAATTTAGAGCATCTCCAACGGTAGTAGGCATTTTACCTATCTAAATATTACTATAAATTATATATTTTATTTTGCGTATCAACTGTTTTATGTTTTTACTCCAACCATGCTCTTTATTTTAGCTATTTATCCAAATACTATTAATTTTATAGAATGCCACATCAACAACAAAGATGGAGGGAAATGATCTTAATGATTGAATACATTTTGCCTAGCGTTGAAGGCTAGCTACATGTAGCTAGCGAATATGAGTTGAGCCAAAATGCCTAATCATATGCCTAGTGCATTGGAATTGAAAAAAATGAATCACACTAGGCATTTTAACTAACAAGTATTATATGCCTAATGCATTGGAGATGCTCTTAGTGTTCATTTCTGAAATGGGTTTGGCTATTGTGTATTGATTTCTAAACTAGTATGGGTTTGATGTCCGAAATATGGTTTGATTTTACTAGTTTCATATATTTCCCCCTCTTTTTCCTTTCTCTTTCATTGGTTTGAGTATGAATTTGTTGCTGATATATGCACTTCGAAATTGTATCTATAATTCTATTTTGAAATTGCTCCATGTTTAATGTATTTGGATGGAATGGATGCATTTGTCCGATTTCTAAAATTAGAATCACAATTGGGGGTAAATTACAAATACACCTTTGCAAATATTTTGTAGTTTTGTACTGTACAATTTTGTGTACCATTTGCTGATAAATAAGAATTTGCAGTAGGTGAAAGGATATTTGGGTTGACTGACCTATGGAGTTGAATACTTATCAGAACTTTCTAAAATAGTGATAGTTGATTTGGCTAACGGCTTCCTCATAATATTGTAAATCAGTTACTATTTGGACCATCTTTTCACTTTGTTTATATTCTAGTTATGATCATTTTTAGATCTTTGATTTTTTTCTTTTTTTCTTTTTTTTTTAAATTTTTTTTATAACTTTAGGGAACTCCTGGAGTAATAGGATCAGTGCTTTGGGACAATGAAGTTGTATTGGGGAAGTTTTTAGAGCATGCTGTAGAATTAGGGATGATGCTTCTTCAAGACAAGAAGGTCATTGAATTGGGATATGGCTGTGGATTAGTTGGGTAATACTAACAACTATTTTTAAGTTCCATCTTTGTCATTATACCGTACCATATGAACAAACAAAGTCAATTTATTTTCCAGTTGGTGAAATGGCTCTCAAATGAGGGAAGCAAAAAAATAAAACTAAAATTACTTGGTCAATAAAATAGGACTTTTATTAGAATTCTAAGCTGATGAGATGGTAGACCATGTTTATGATTGTGACTAGAAAGTGCGTAGCATGAGGAGTGGAATTTTCACTTAGATTTTTCTATATTTATTTACTAATTTTATATAAAAGTAATTGCTTCTCTTAAATTATGATTTTCTTTTGTTGTGTTTCCAGCCGCATTGCTGCCCTTTTGGGTGCTGAAGTTATCCTTACTGATTTGCCAAATTGATTAAGGTTGCTGAGGAAGAATGTTGAAACTAATCTGTACGGAAATGTTTGTGGTTCTACAGCAGTGAGTCAACTCATTTGGGGAGAGGAGCCTGTTATAGAATTGATTCGACCATTACTTGATTATGGTACAAAGATCTTATATCTTCTCTTCCACATAACAAAGGTTTTAAAAATTGGCTGTTTCTATAACCAAGTAGGTATAATGGGCGTTACAACTCCGTTGAGTGCCTGTTACGGTGCCGTTAGAATTGTTATGGCTATTGTAATCAATTTTGCTAAGAGCCAATACTAGCTCTTGGTTGTTGGATTTTGCACTTGGACCTTCCACATGGTGTATCTTGACCTACGAATTTAGTCCCATGCTCCATATACATTTTCATCAAATTACCTAGTATTTGCTTAATGCTTCTGGGCCAAGTTGTGATATTTTATGAGTTGTTTTGGTGCTCATTTAAAGTTTCTGAATTTTAGAGTTTCTTTTCTTTTCTTTTCTTTTTTTCCTTCTTAATTTTATGCTCTTATTGTGTTTTTCTCTTATTTTGAATGAAAAAAGTATTGGGGTCGGATGTAATTTATAGCGAAGACGCGATAATGGATTTATTGGCCACATTACTAGAACTTTGTGGCACCCAAACAACAATTATTTTGGCTGGAGAACTTCGAAATGGTACAAAATTTTAAGTTTGCTTTGTGCTGCCAAAACCACGAGTGTTTTGCTTTTATTTAAATTTCATGGCACAAAGTGCTCAAGCCGAAAATTACAGGGGAATTAAAGAGAATTTTTCAAAAAAGAGTAGGTTGGGGGTGGAATAGGTTGAAAGGACATAATGAATTTGAAAATGACAAAAGTAGGCAAAAAAAGATAAATGGTTGAAAATAGGACAATCTTGCTTTACATCTGCTTGTACTTGGGGTTATTTGCTCCATCTCACTCAAGGTAAAAGGGAATCACATTATGATCTTGTAACTAATGTAGATTAACTAACTTAATCTGCCGTTTGCTTAGTGTCAACACGAGAGTTTGATAGTTAACATGTTTTTTCATTCTGTACAAGAGTAAGGAAATAGGGATTGCTCTATGAATTGCAGCTCAACTGTTACAATACCTCTGGTGCAGGGACTTTTGTATGCTACAAGGTGTCGCTTTGGAGATGTGTTAGGCTCTGTTGGGTGTGGTTCTGGCATGTATTGTTGGAAAAAAATGATTTTTTGGTGACTTTAATGTGAAATTAAAGTAGGTCCCAACCATTGGTTAAGGTAGGATTAAATGAGTTTAAATTCTTTGTAACAAGGTCTTTACACCACAAAAAGAATGATAAAAAACCATTAAGAATTGAATGAGAAATTATCTCATAAAGTTGACCCCATGAAGAGGTATTGGGAATGGTGTATAACTATCAATGCCACATTGATTGTAGGGGAAAGTTTTGATGGGTATTTAAATCTTAAGATTTTGATATATGCATGAACCCTTTGGGGCATTCAAATTTTTTGAAGGAAGGGAGTTATGGATGCTTCAAGGATGGGCTTGGACCAAGACTATGGTCCAAGTTGGTTATGGCAAAATTGTACACGCGTATAGGCACAATTCGGGTTGGATTCACATCTAAATACTCATAACCTCATTTAAATAAAAGAACAAATAAAATTACAACTTAAAGGAGTTTTGTCAAACGAAATTACTAATAACAAAAACCTAACAATCTTCCCATTTGGCAATGCCGTGACAAAACACACCTAATAAATAAAAGCCTAATCACCCCAACCCATTACAGCCAACAAAACAAACTTCTTTATCAAAGTTACGATCTGCAAAACATCTATTAGTACCACAAGAGTATATGAAAAGTAATAAACATATGGCAAGGTTATCTTGAACCATGAGATGGAAATATGAAAAGATGTAAATTGGAGATTTTAAGAACATGTAGGATGAAAAGATGAAAATCCTAAGACACATGCACCCTCTCAAACTTCTCCCCACTTTTGTCAGGAATTGTCAAAGGAAGCTCAATCAACTAAAGCAAGATCATAAACCACACAAGCAGGAACACGATGATGTAAAAAGTAATAGCAAGCGAGAAATAAGTAATAAATAAGTAGTGCATAGCAACATGCAAACCAACTAATGCCAATCTCCCTGACCAAACCAAAATTTATAAGTTCATGCTAAATACACACCTAGCACTAATAAACCAAACTTCCCCTCATTAAAATCAACCACAAGCACTGAAAACAATGAACAAGAAAAAAAAAATATGGTGAAGTACGTAAGGAATTTCAGATTTGTACCTTAAAACACACAAGATTGTCCAAGAAGCACAATTACTTGAAAACACAATGTGCACAACCTCTAGAAGATTCCTCATAAAATAAAGTGATGTATTATGTGAAAAACATACATCCATGAAAAAAGTGTGTGTGTGACTCTTGGGGTTCGACAAACACTAGATTCAAATCCTAGTAGTGATCTGATAGCTGTATCTCCGACAATAGAATCTAAGAACAACTAAGGAAAGTCAAACCATTAGGAATCAAGGGGTATTTGTTGAGTAAAAGCGGAGGCTCTCCGTCATGCAATTAATCTTCTTCTTCATTTTTTTTTTCTCTCTCTCTTTCTTTTACACATTTTTTTTTCTTTCTTTCTTTTGTACTCATTGGTGGCTTTCACTCTCAAGAGTATGGAAACCAAACTAGAGAAGCATGGATATAATAAGGAACGACATAGTCAGCGAAGTGGCAAGCATGAAAGAATTAACATCATAAAGTCCTCTGCATAGGTACAATTCGGGTTAGATTTGTATCTAAATACTCATAGCCTCACTTAAATAAAAGAACGAATAAAATTACAACTGAAAGGAGTTTTGTCAAACGAGATTGTCAATAACAAAAATCTAACAGGACCATATATGATTTAATTAAATATTCGATTAAGTTTGGAAAAATAGAGATTTGATCCGAATTGGAGTTGATTAGCTTGTGAGAATTGAGAATTAAGATTATTATGAACTAAATTATTTATGAGGCGATCAATTGAATATGTAATTGATCGATGGAGATTTTGGGCTTGATCTAAAATTGAAGGCCCTAATGATGTGAGAAGCCAAAATTGATTATGGAAATAAGTTTAATTTGACATTTGGAGCCTTTTGGGAGTTTGATTAAAAATCTGATTCTGATTGATAAATTTAAATATAATTAATTGGGCTCTAATGGAGGTCAAATTAGATTAATTAAATTATGTGAAACTTTTAGTCATGATTAATTTAATTGTGTTAATCAAGATTTATTAAAATTAAGTAGTGTTTAATTAAACTAATGTGTAATTAGTGTACGAAACTAATCTAATTTTACTCAACTAATTAACAAGTTGGTGTGTATTAAAGAAGGTTCTAGAGAGTTTGAGAGAAAGGAATGATATCACATATATGTATTGTTGGAGTGTTTGTGCTGGGAGGAGCCGAGAGAGAGAGAGAGAGAGAGAGAGAGAGAGATTGTGCTGGAATTCAACCTAAGAGCCCCAAGAAGAAGAAGAAGAAGAAGAAGAAGAAATAAGGAAGGGAAGCCTTGGAAAAAGTGAAGAGATTCAATCATTCAATAATTCTAGGTAAGATTTCTAACTTCAATCTTGGAATTAGTCCTCCCAACATCACAAATCAAGAAGAAATATAATTCAATTGTATGTAATTTTAAATATAATAAAAAGAAAAATAAATTTCAAGAACTAAGAAATTAATTTAGAAATTTAGCAATTGAGTTTAATTTGTGTTATTTTTCATGAATTTGGACTTTATCTTTACATGAATTATAAATTTTGAAGAATTTGAGTTATTCAATTCCATATTTTGAAGAGAAAAAGGAAAAATTTTATAAACATTAAAATCCATGGAAATCTAGAATTAATCTTGAAGATAAATGAGGTTTTGACTTTAAATCCCTAATCGATGCATGTAATGTAATTTAAGAGTCTTACTTGATTTAACCATATTTTGGAATATATATTAAATTAGTTAGTTATTTGAATTACATACATGCAATATTTGCTAGGAAAATTGATAAGAAAATGATGAATTGGAGTTAAGATCAAGTTTATGAAAGTAAAGTTAGAAAGTAATTATTTTGGGCTTGATTTTGAAAAATTATGGTTAAATTAAGCTTCATAAATTACATGCAAATATTCTTCTAAGAGTTTTATAACTTTAATTTTATGTTTTGAAAATCAAGGGAAAATATTTGAAATCTTTGCAAGCATAAACCACTGATATAGTAAGATTAAGAAGCCAAGTTGGAAATCGGTCCATTTGGAAAATAAGGATTTAGTAATGAAAGAATATGTGAAATGAGAACCTGATTCATATGAATAAAGAAAGAATAAGTATAGTAGAACTTCGGATTACTTAGACAGAAAAAGACAAGAGAAGCCAAGTTGAATCAAGGAAGTGATATTGTGTTTCAATGCGTATATGTTATGTGTTTGTGTAGGTCACTTGCACGAGGAGTATCATCCGGCCAAGCACTATGAGTAATTTCTTTGTAAAGATATTTTCGTATCTGAATTACTTAGAGAATGGCTAGATTATCTGATAATTTGGGCCACCTATGTTTTGTTATGAAATCTTGATATGATATGTTCGTGAACAAAAACCTTGGAATCGTTAAGTTATACTTTGAAACTCTAAAACGTGTATGATATGATATGTCTTCAAAAATGAGGTTTTGTTAGGAATGAATAAGCAAGATATGATAAGCTTTTCGAAAATGGAATTTGTTTAAGAATGAATGAGTTCCTTTTGAAACGATAACTATGAAAACAGCTTGGGAAATGTCTTTTGATCCTCAATGACTTATGTATAGTATTCAACTCGTCATGTATGTTTAGTATAAATTATTGACTCATTGTAATATAATATATGACACCGATCTTTTATGATCGTTTCGCATGATTTCGATTGTATTGATTGTTTCGTATGCTTTCGATTGTATCGATCTGTATGATATATGCCCGTTATAGATGTTTTGAATAAAGTCACCGAAGTGGGAGTTTCGCATAAGCGCGTCCTATATGGACGTTTTGTACCAAGTCGTCCCAAGTGGACGTTTCGCATAAGTCGTCCAATAAGGACGTTTTTGTATAATGTCATCCTATATGGGTGTTTTGCATGAGGTCGTCCTATGTGGGCGTTTTGTATGAAGTCGCCCAATGAGGGTGTTCCGAATGTTTTGTTTTGCTGTGAACGTTTTGTGTGGTATTCCGACAAGTTTTGATTAGGCAATTGGGTACTACAAATTGTGGAAAGATTTGATGATCCATATTAGTTATTATATGTTTCCGAAGTATGCTTTAATTACGTCAAGAGCATTATATTGTTTTGTTTAAGTTATGGATCTCATTTAGTTTACCTTTTTACATCGAGATTATTCATTAGGCTCCAGCTCACTGTATTATTTATGTATGTAGGTGATCAGGCGCGTGACCAAGCCTAGAAC